TGTTTAGATTCCTTCGATTTGAGGAAGATTTTATTTTCCCTGGCCACTTTATTGCGGGAACATCCTGGATCTGTAATAGGATGTGCCTGACGGTAGCGTTGAAGGGAGTGAAGGCTTGTCGATCTCTCTGGAGAGCAGGACCAAGTCGGTCTTTAGCAGGTACTCTGTCCGTCCTGCTACGCTTGTTATTATTCTCCTTCTTATCGTCTCTATCTTTTTCTTTTTTTTTTCTCTCCAGCTCTAGAGGACTCTCCTCGTCTGGCTCTTGTAATGTCCTCAACATTCATGTATTTTTGGGCCTTCACCAGTAACTCTGGCATGCTCTTAGATGGGTGCTTCATTACAAAGAAAAGAAAGCTTGACGACCAGAGGCCTCCTAAGAAGGCGGTCATACTCACCTTATCATCGGGCTCCTCGACTTGAAGGACCTACTCGTTAAAACGAGTGAGGTAGCTCCTCAGGCCACATCTCGGTCTTGCTTTATGCTGAGCAAGTGGGTGGCAGGCTTCTGGTGGCGACGTCCTCCAATGAAGTATGACACGAAAGACCTGTTCAGCTCAGTAAATGTGTCATTATTGAGCGGATCCCTTCAAGGTGGTTGGGAACGCTCTGCACATGATTTCATCAGAGACATTGTATAGTTGCATCAAGGTTTTAAAAGTTTCAAGGTGGTCCAGCGGATCCTTCGTACTGTCAAAGGTCTCAACAAATAGTATCTTGAATTTTTGGGGGAGTGGGTAGTTCGCCACGTTAGGTTTAAAAGGTACGTCGGTTCAATTTATGAGGTAGTTTACTGTCTCGGGGCTCTGCGCCTTCATAGCGTTGAAGACGTCACCCAGCTAATTTGGCACCTCCTTAATTTTTTCGTCCCATTGATTGGGATGAGGGCCTTTAGAATTACCACGAAAATGACTCTCATGCCCAATGCTTTGATTTTCACTCTCGTCTTCTTGGAGAACAGGGTCTCCACCATGGGGAGCCGGAGTAGGGGCTGGAGGAGGAGGTCCCTCATGGTGGGCCCCCTATGTGGGGCACCCAAGGGAACTCCCAAAGGGGGGCGTCCAAGGGGGACCTGGATGGGGAGTGTCAAGGTGAGGAGCTCTTTGATGACCAGGGAGTGGAGTTCCCCTGACTTGAGGTCCAGACTGTGCTCCTCCTTATTGCCAGAGTATCAATTGTAAAATCTGTTGGTTTTGGGCTATGAGCTGCATCATTGTGACCAGCATCTGCTGTGTATTTGGGACGGGATTAACTGGTGGAGGGGCAACCTCCTCCTCTCATAAGTTGTCTTCATGCTGACTCATGGTTCTTGTGGTGATTAACTTTGATTGAGCAAAGAAAATGGTTAGGTGGGAATTTTGCAGTTTCTCATAGATGGCGTCAAACTGATGATGCACAAATTGGTTTGCACACCACTTGTCAACTATGCAGTAAAATAAGTAGAGGGAGAAAAAAAACAAGGTTTATAGTGGTTCGGTCAACGTAACCTATGTCTACTTTGAATGATAAAGGTCGCCAATATTTTATTATCTCCGATGTAGAGGGAGAGTACAGGATTATAAACTTTGAGAGGGGAGGAGAGAATTATGCTCAAATGAGTCTGATGCCCCCCAAGTGTTGGTGGGACTTATAATTTATAGTGGCTTAGTGTGGTAATTGCATAGCTAGTTGGACGGTCATAACGGGGTTGAAACCGTTTAATAGTCATAACGGATTGGTGTGACTTTAATAGTGATTAAATAGCTTGGCGACCTCTGCTCTCTTTAATGACAAGGAAATTTATGATGTTCTCCAAGTGGCGAGGATGAGACTCCTATACGCTCCTTTGGTGGTGTAGAGGAGATTCTTGGATGACCTTGCATGTTCTAACCCAAGATGATAGAGGAGACTCCCAGATAACATTGCGGCTCCTTGTTGATGTAATTCATTGAACTTGATGAGTTGACTAAACCGATCACATTGGGTTGAATTTAATGGACCTCTTGAAGTTGAGCCTTAAAATTTAGACTAGGCTTATAACATGAGTTAGATTTTTGAGCTTAGCCCATCAAACTCAGCAAAATAACTAAAAAATGACATTTATTGAGAGGGTTGGATTAGCCTTAAGGATTCGAAGGGGGAATAAAAGGAGATGAGAGAAATCGAGGATGAACAAAAAAGAGCTCGGCATTGGGAGGAGTTTGTTTTCCTAGTTTTCTCTGTTTCCATTGCACTTGGCGTAGATGGGACTGTGCTGATACGTCACAGTTGTTGATTTGTTTCGAGAAAAATCAACTGGTTCAAAGCCTAATAAAGTGAAAGACTTAGTTGAGGGTGAAGTGATGGATATGGTGGTGAATAGTAGAAGGCAAGGGAATTAAAGAAAGGGTTTCAAATCCTATGTCAAATGCTAATGCTGGAAATGGAAGTACAGGTTCTAGGGACATTTCTAGTAAAGCTGATTGGAGGCCGGACACAAGAGTGATTGCTGATGGACTTGTCACGGCTGATAGTAGTTGCGGAGTGAGAAATTTTATTTAAAACGAACACAAATTTTAAATTTTTTAAAAAATAAAATAATATATTTAAATTTATGACATTATATTTGACACTAAAAGATTTATAAAATGCAAAAATGATCGAACGTTGATAAATATAGCATATACACCTACAAAAAAATAGACTAATTACAACCTCTCATAATAAATGAGACTAACTATATAAAAGATATTAGACTTTTTCTCTATATAATCAATCAAGTTATTAACAATTGATCACTCATTAAGTTATTTAACTTAGTTTTCATAATATATATAACTTTAAAAAAGAGTCTAATATGTCAAAGATTTAAAATGTGTTCAAAAATTCATAATTATTTAATTAAATGACTATACTAACTGATAAAATAAAAAATAATAGACTAAATGTACTTAAATATATTTTTAATAATTTTAAATACACGTGTCTAATATTTTTTTAAAATTTCAAGATGGGCCCGCCGTGCCCTTAGTACTCATGTGGCTCCGCTCTGTTCGTCAGTCTACCTACGGGAGTGACCTTTGTTTCATCCCATCTTCAATAGTCTCCGATGATATGAGGCCCCCCCAGTATGAAGAAAAAAAAAAAGTGAAAAATGGTATCGTTAAATCTCAAAAATATCTTTATAGAAATCTTAAAAATTTTGAAAGTAGCTTTAATTTAATTTTTTAAATTATAAATTATTATCCCTTAATTCACTCCTAAATTAAAATTAAAATTTATATTCTCTTTCTCTCTTTCGTTAAAATAAGATCATTACTCCAGTACAACAAATTTTTCTCCTTAGATATCATTTCTTTTTTCATAGTATCAAAGTCAATAGGGTTTGGAACATCATCAATAACTACCATATCTTCTACTGTGTTTTGATCATCATGAACTTTTATTTTGTTGATTTTCAAAAAAAAATGTTAAAAAACTTGTTCAATGTGTTATTAGTTTGATCTCTAATTTTATTTTTATTGTTTTGATAAATAATCCCCAAATTTTTTTAATGTTTTATACTACGTTTTAGGGATCAAATTTTTAGAAGGCTTCATAATTTTAGATATGTTATTAGCCCACAAGAAAAATAAAATTCATTAAATTTTAAAGTCTAAAAAAGTAAATCCAATCAAAATTTTTATTGTAATAATTTAGGCTCATGATCCAATCCTTAACATTAAAAATTTAAAAATAAAAAAAAAGTCAAAAGTCAACTCTCTCTCTCTTCCCTCTCTCCCTACTAAAAAAACAAAAAACAAAAATAAAAGTTAAAACATCTTTTTAGACAACATTAGCATATCCTTCTTCTGTCTCTTTTACATAGAAAATTAAAAATAAATTAATTTTTTTTAAAAAAATAATACTAAAAATAAATTAATTATTTTAAAAAATAATATTAAAAAAAACCCCATGTTTTCATTTTAAGCCTCAAATTATTTAAGTCACCCCAGGATATGTTATGGAAGCTAATAGTCTTCTAAAAGAAGCAAGGGAACGTTTGAAGCATAGAGGTGACGATGGACAAGCAGAGAATGCATTGCAAAAGTCTGCCAGGCTAACTTCGGTGGCTATTGAAAAAGAAATAAAGGTATTAACATCTCGCGAGTGGTGATGGTTGAATGGAGTTGAAGAGGGAGTTATGAATAGTTATTGAAAATGAAATAGAAGGTATTATGAATATTTTAGGAGTGGATACCAAACTTCCCTCGTATCCTTTATTAATGGTATAGATTCTCAGTCATTACCATATGTATCTGCACTGTCTATAGTGTGATCCATCACCAGAGATATTCCACTCACTAGCAAGAAGCTTGCCAGACCAATTCATCAAAAATAATATTAGTGCAAATACCTCCCCTAAATAGACGTTTATAGGATTTTCTGGGGGTCTTTTTTATGTTGTATTCAACATCATTCATCTGTCCTCCCTTTCATATCTCATAAACTTGTTGCTGTCGTTTTTAGAACATGCTTTTTCTTTTTTAGGGATACCATGTCGATCTTTTCTAAGAGTTTACATCCATTGCATAGGAAAGTTTGGTACCACGGTGTCGGCTCTCGTCACCGGAGACAATAGTACAATTCAAGGATTGGATTGTTCGGCCATCAAAGCGCCACGTGAGTGAAATTCAGAACTTCTCGAGACAGTTCAGTCCATATATCTAGTGTGGGCGTTAGAGTATTGAAATGAGCTTTCCCTAGTACGAGAGGGGCCCAGAAAGAACAAATTTCTAGAATATCCTATAAAAATTGAAAGATATGATCGTAGCTACTGCTTGTTCCAAGCACATTTGATGTCTAATTCAGATCAAAACTTCCCATAATTTGCCAAACTTTGAAAGAATAAACACCATTCATAATATATCAATTAAGCAGTACCTTAATGAACTCCATGTTCATTGTTCTGTTTTTATGAATTACATTCAAGAGGAAGTTGACTATAGCTCAAATTTGGCATTAGTTATGCATTCTCTCCTATTTTTTCTGAATCAATTCTCTCATTCGGGTTTACGCCTCGGACCAGTAATACTCCGGAAAACTTTCAACATCCCTGCAAATGTCACAATTCCGACCAAACTATAGTCATCTTCAACAACCCAAATGTAATTCCGACGATGCGTAAGGGCTTGAATCATCACAGCCACCAAAGAACTCCGTGGATAGCACACAATCGCCTCCGATGTCCTTGCCAGAGAATACCTGCCAGACCCACCATGCTTGCTTGACCACCCACACTCTTCATCTGATGAACCACTAGAGGAAGAAGACGACAATGAAGACACAGAAAATTCCTCCATTAGTTCTAACATTGCGCCTAAATTCTTCTCTTCCAACATCATCTTAACCAACTGAACCAAGTCCTCTGGCGGACCACCACAATCAATGTACGCCATTAAATCACCTGCCGAGAGAGTTGTGATGGCTGCTGCCACGGACTCATCACAACAGGCAAGAGTGATCGGAGAGATTTCACCTATCAATCTGTTATCTTCGTCAATGACTGCAACTGAGGTTTGCTCTGTAAGAGCCCGAGAAATGGAGGCCAATGCAGTGGAGGCAGGCTCATGATAGTGCACAGCCATGGTGTCCATATCAATGATGTTGAGTGATTCAATTGTGAACGTAGGGATTGGGGAGAAGACCCGATCGAGTTGAGGAGGAAACGAATCACATCTTCCTGTGTTAGCCAACAAAATTCGCGGCCGTTGTGATGTGTAGACCTGAATGAGTTGGTTTGTTGAGGACCTTTTTCCTTGACTTTGTGTTGGTATGGCTTTGAATTGGTAAAACCAAGTTTTGGGCTCCTTCAAGGATGCAATCTATTGCCTCCAATAAGCTGAAAATTACGAAAGAAGAACTAAATAAGATTGAACATATAAAAATGTTAATTCAACACACAAGCAAACATTGTGAAAAAGTATGGTAGTATCTACATATCAGGAAAATAAAAGCTGGCAAGGGATAAGGTAGTGATTTCATGCCAAGAAGTAAACAGAAATACAACCTAGAGCATTGGAAGAATATTCAACATTTGACGCAAAAATTATCTCAACTAGATTCTTTATCAATAAAGTACTTTGTCCCAGTTCTCATGTAAAGGAAAATGAAATATACTTTCTCAATTCATTGTTGAGGAAGAATTTTCAATGGGGACAACAGAGCAACAAATATTTATAAGAGATGGCCAATGGTTTTTTTTTTTTTTTTGGGGAAAGGGGGGGGTGTTGGTGTTACTGAAAGCACTTTTTTGTTCATGGTATTTCTTTGAATGTTCTGGAGACTCTCCATTCTCAGCAATATTTCTTTCTTTTTTTTTTTTTTGGTTCAGCTGATAGACATATTTGGGTCAGATTACAGACATCTCAACTAATTTATCTCAACTAATTTCTTTTGATACGGTCAAATCAGTGAAAAGGAGACCAACAACGTCCGGATCAAGGTATTCATTCATAAGGGAGATGCCAAATAATTATCTAGATTCTGATCCTAACTTTAGCCGTCCGAGTTTACAACTCATCTTCATTACCATTTTAACCTTTCTTATCTTAACCTTTCTTATCTGCAATACTTCAAGCCATAAATAAGCTGAAATTTACCAAAGCACATCAATTGTTGCCCTTTATTTAGATGAGAATCTGACAACACAAAAAACACAACTAACATCCAAAAGAAGTATATCTTAACGATACATGTCCTATTTACCATCTCAACTTTTCATTAGTTTGTTACCCAGAACCTCATGTAAAAAATCTCCCAAAAGAAAAAATCCTAAATTCGGATTCAAGTTCCAGGTTAAAAATCCAACCCAAAACCCTTAAACTATCTAAGTTAACAGTAAACCCCACAAACGTTGAATTTTTTTTGTAACTTTCCTTTATAATATAGATCTCCATTTGTTTATCTCACCCATTCAATGTTGGATCTAGAAGAAAGGTTGAAATTAACTATATCAGATCTTTCAGTTTGATGTAAATTTACGAAGTGGTTGATCCAATTTCAAAACTCATTGAGACAATCTGTCAGTCAATTAGAATGCATACCTAGAATTGGGTTCCAAATGCTTCACAAGTCCAGGAACTTTGGGCAAAACATCCGAAACCGGAGATTCAAGAGCCTTCGAAGGACTCTTCAGATTCTCCTCTCTACAAAGAAAACACAGCACGTCCACCATGCAAACCTTTCCGATGCATCGACAATCGTCGTCGTCGTCGCCGGCGAAACCTGTAGTCTTCTTTTTCGAAGAATGTTCACAGGTCCAAACGCTCACATAGCTCTTGCCTGACCTCTTCAGAGCCGATACTGCGTCGGCGACGGTGGCGGAAACGGGAAGCGACCTCAACGCCGGCTTCCAAGGCACAAGTCCGATAGCTCATGACCCAAAAACTCACTGCCATGCAATAACAAACACGAGATCTAGAGAGAGAAAGAGAGGTTCAGAAAGAGAGGTCAGAGAGAGAGAGAGCCGTGGAACTGTTAGTTGTACGGAAGACACGCCTCCTGTAGAGAGGGGAATTTACGGCTAATGGCAGAAACGGAAGGGTGGAA